AAATGAAGTTTTTCCTAAGAGTTTGTATGGGAATCTGAAAACAACTTGATTTGTACTTTCTAACTCGAGTTTAAATTCTACGATTTTGATTAAAATTGGTCAGTTTGTAGCTCTTCAGATGCCTTTTCAAAAAAACATATCCAGAATACTCGATCGACCTTGTGTCAAGTGGATCTAGTACAACAAACTACCGAATTTCTGTGTATTTTCATGAATTTTTCGACGAAAGTCGATATGGCTCGAATTCAATCATATAATTTTGATTAGATTGGTTAGTTTTTCTGCGGATCCTTCTGGGGCTTCGAAATATTTTTTGAATTCCACTCGTTTATGCATCGATACATCAAGCATTACTTCCAAGTACTTTGGCAGTGTATTTATCTCAAAAATCGCTGAAAATATTTAAATAACTCAGTTTACTCGGTTCGCTTCGAATTTTTTTATGACAAATATAACTAAAATGTATTTTAAATTATTATCGTAAAGTATTTTTGACCAATGTGGTTGTGTGTTTTTTGTTGTTCAGTGAATTCTGGTAACAATTGATTTTTAACGACATAAAAAATTTAAGATTGAAAATACAAATCTAAATCCAAATTCTTAAACACTCAAAAATATGTATTAGTTTTGCGATACAATTCATTTTCGACACACTTTTCATACAAAAATGTAAAAGAAAATTGGATTTTTGTATGGAAGCCATGCCTGTATGATATTGTAGCGGTGGGCGCTGGTGAAGCACTTTTTGTATGAAAATATTTGTTGAAAATTCAACAATACGCCACCTATTAAAGACCATAAAGATTTTCGTTACTAGTGCTGTGTTTACACAGCTCTAGCGAACTATATAGCTGTATTGCAAACGTATTAGTACTGAGAACACTACTCCGATTCTGTGTATGCGTGTGTGTTGTAAATTTTGAACAAGCAGCTACGGTTGACAACTGATTGCAGAATTTGCAATACAAACGGACACAAAAAATCAGAGTCAGTGTGTTCTTTAGTAACAAAAATCTGTATGTCTTTTAATAGATGTCGTATTCGTTGAATCTTCAACAAAAAATCTTCGATACCAGTATCGTAATGAGCTGAAACTTTGCACAGGTTATTTTTATCTCACAAAAATAACATTTCGAGAGTTTGACGAAATTTCAATGCATATTAGGGGTACCTCCCGGACAAAATTTTGGATTTTTCGCTCAAAAATGAACATTTTGTATAGAAGGTACCCCAAATATGCATTGAAATTTCTTCAAATTTGCTAAAATTTTGTAGTTTGGCCAGGAAATGAGATTTACAAGTGATTAAATTACTGTAACTACACAGTTTGGGAAAAAATCCGATCCATTTCGAATCAACAAAACGCATTAAATGTTTATTTGAAGTAATTTAATCACCATAAAAACTTGTGAATCTTATTTTCTTACCAAAATACACAATCTCAGCAAATTTAAAGAAATTTCAATATAATTTAGGAGTACCTCCCATACAAAATTTCGGATGGAAGTACCCCTAAATTGTATTCAAAGAAGAATGGGACTTTTTCATTTTTATGTTGGTATCACTGACATTATTTCCATTTGTTTATATGTGAAGTGCTACCAATATAAAAGTGACTAACTCTCAAAATCCCATCCTCCTTTCTTCAAACTTTCAGAATGTCGGCTTTTGTGTAAAAAAAATACCACGTGCAAAGTTTCACGTCATTACGATAGCATACAGGCATTGAAAAGTGTATCAAAAATTATTTGTATCGCAAAACTTATATCAGATTTAGTTTTCTCATAAATTCATATTTACAATAAAAGATATGTAATAAATGCATGTTGTGCAGCGGCTCATATTTGGCACTTCTTGTCTTTTTGTGCAAAGTTCATTTTCTCGCAAGGTTTTCTATCAGAAATTAGCTATCAATTGAAATTAATTATTATAATTCATTTCTTATTTAACAAAATCAGAAGAGCAATGTATCACACCTACTCGCAACCCAGGTTATTGTCTCTATTTACATCAGTGCCCTTTACTTGACCAGTTGCCAAGACATGATCCAAGAAACGTTGAGTATCTACGTCGAAGTGCATGCGGGGCAAATAATGTTGGGGTAATTTCGATGAAACTGTTTTGCATCTCAAATGGCTATATTTTAATAAGTGATTAAAATTTTGATTAGATTTGCTGTCCATTGTATGTTCCACCTGCTCCACCACCTCCTACTGATTCAGGTGTTTTACCAACACCTGGCGATATAAACGGTTGTGGAAATCATGACTTGCATGCAAATATCGTGGGAGGAGAACCAACTGATGTAAATATGATATAATTTTTATGATATAATTTTTATGATATATCGATATATAAAATATTTTAATAATTTTTTAAATCTAAAATCAATATATAATGGACCAGATCTATGAGTACCCTTGGATAGCTATGATTGAATACACAAAACGTAATTGACCAAAAATTCAAACAATTTTAGATTTTTTTTTTATATTTTCTTGTCTATTTCTATTGCAGCTCGTGGCAATCGTGGCTATCATTGTGGTGGTGCGCTAATAAACAAATGGTGGGTCGTCACAGGTATGTAATATTGCTGGTCCCACTGGCATATCATTTACACTGACTTCAATAAATTAATAATATAAATAAAATAAATGTTTGTTTTCTTTTTTAAGCTGCACATTGTTTAGATAATAAACAATTACATGAACGAAGATGGATAGTGTCAGGTTTGAGATAATTACTATATTTTCAAAACTGTTGCAATTAAAGCGATGTTTTATATTTTAAAAGGGGTTCGCTTGGGCGAATGGCAAACGTCAACAAATCCCGATTGTGATGAGATGACATCTATTTGCGCACCTCCAGTTGAAGACATACAGGTTGTGCAGCAGATTATACACGAAAACTATATGCCTAACTCAAGAGAACATCCAAATGATATTGGTACACTAATTTAATTGATTACTGCGTTAGCTAATTCATTTGATGTTATGCATATGTAATGTATTCAGTCGAAATTTCCAATCAAAATGGATAAAAATACCAGCAATGAAACAGGATGACAGGCTGACAAACAGAATTAAAAAAAAACAAAAATTATATTTGCTTATTCGCATCCCAATTTAAATTTTAAATTGATCGATTTTAACATTTTTTTTTTGAATTTGATGTTAGCTTTGTTGCGGTTAGGACGAGAAGTTACATATACGTCATTCATCAAACCGATTTGCTTACCGATATCGAAAAAAGTAGTTGGTAAAGTCTACGACGGAGAACCATTATGGGGTGCAGGTTGGGGACGAACCGAAGTATGTAAAATAGATTCCAAAAATGTTGAAAAAAAAATTAATTATTCTTTTATTATAATTCCATTTTAGACAGGTAAGCATCTACATTTATTTAACATGACCAGTATATTATTTTCATCTTGGAAACATCGATAATTTTATTACAATTTTAACACATTCTTGTGTTATTTTCATAGCATTAAACAGTGACTTGAAGTTGAAAGTCGAATTAGATGCTAAGTCAATGGAAGAATGTAACGAAATATATAGTGAACTCGGTGTTACTTTGAGCGAAACACAATTGTGCGTCGGAGGTAAAAACGGAACTGATACGTGCCAAGGTACATAATTGTACAAAATGTCATTTGAACATTACAAACTTATTTTCCAAATTATTTTATGTCGTTTCTCTTTAACAGGTGACTCAGGGGGACCTCTGATGGACACAGAAACTACAGAAAATAATCGAATGAGCTATCACTACCTAGTGGGTCTTGTTTCATTCGGACGTACGCCGTGCGGACAACGTGGATGGCCTGGAGTATATACAGTACGTTCAGAAATTCATTCAGTTTTGCAAATTTTCTACAATTAACAATTGATTTCTATTCAAACAGAGAATGGACAAATATGTGGATTGGATCAAAGAAAAAATTGGAAATAAAAATTAACATGATCATCGAATCCGACGATAAAATGTAAAAAAATGAATCAATCTTTGAATTTTAATGTATGTTCATTGTTCACATATTTGAATCCGAAATAAAAGTTTCCGCTGTCTTGGTCAACAAGAGCCAATCTTCTAAATGTTTTTTTTTATTTTTTTGATCTGATATTGTTTTTGAGCGATTTTTGTTCATCGGTATTTGGTGACCATATGCGTAATAGGATTCTTTATTTTTTAATTATTTAGTCGTTCGGAGTGATCTTTGGACGTGGAGAAGTATAAAATTCCTTTATTTTGTCATTTATTCTCAACGTGTCATCTAAAAACGTCCAAATATGGGGTCTAAAAATGACTCATTGTATCCAGTGCAATTTGAAAGTATCCTACTCAAATTTATTTTCTTCTATTACAAAACTGAAAATTGTTTTATACTCTATTATTTAAAAGATGTGGTTTTTAATGAAGATCAGATGCTATCCATCATGATTATACCTTTTTCCCACCAACACATGTATAAAAATTATGTACAATCACAAACTATGATTCAGCCAGTTTTGACGGTGAATAAACATTATTATAAACTTTATTATTATTAAATAAATAGAAAAACCTCAAAAATATAATTAATTTTTTGCGTTGTAAATAAATGGCTTCCGTCACTTGCATCAATATATTGCAACTAAATTTTGAACAATTTATGTCAAATTACCAATATAAATGTGGCATCAACATATGAACATTGGTATTAAAAATAAATGAAAATATATCCATGGAGTGGTATTCCATCAATTTCATTAATAATAATTAGCAATAATTCAATATATAAATTTTATGATTTGATTGAGAGAGAAAATTGAAGCGATTCTCCATATACAATATACCTTTTTCCACCATTCAATGACACATCGCATATTGACACCGCCAACAACATATTTACTGTGGCGAGAATATTAAACGGTAAAAAAAAAGTCCAAATGCAAGCGGATTTTTTCGACAACAATTATAAAAACAAACTGTAAATTAATTGGTAGACTCTAAACAGTAACAACAAAACCTTTTTTTCATACTACTGATCAAGAGGGGGAAGAGCGAGAGAGAAAAAACAGCTTCAATTTGTACATAAACGCAATAGTGACCAATGTTAGTGGCAAAAAGAAAATTAGCAAAACGTAAATATTTATGCATTTATTAACCGATTGAAATGAACATTGAATAACCAATAAACAAGCAAATCAAATGTGAATTAAATTTGGATTATCAACGCATTTTTTTGTCATCTGCATTCGGTATTGTGAGTTGTTCACAAAAAATTGATACGCTCCATATGAATATAGATTCAAAATCTGATGCCATCGAAATTGGAATGCGTAGAATGGCTTCGAATTGGTTAACAACGCTTCAATAAAATTGCAATTTATATAAATTTCACATTTTGAACTGTATGTTGAACGAAATGGATAAAAAACAGGATTAAATGATGAGCTTTAAGCCCCGAACTACATTTGAATTTCCAATGATAGTCAAAAAAGTGGTTAACAACATATTTAAATTGAAAAACACTCATTTTTTGCTTTGCAAAAGTTTTTTATTGGTGTTTGATTGAAATTATCAATTGAAATGTTAACTTTAAAACTTGAATATCTTTTGATTACTTTAATCCTTTTCCCCTTTCTACCATACTCCAAATGCCGTTTCCATCTTACCGTTTCAAAATTTACGTATAAACAACGGCTTTTCCTTCTCTTCTTCCCTCTGCGTCCTCGGTGAGTTCATAAACAGCGGCTCTTCCAGTGGCTTTGTTAACCTTTCGCCGAACGATCACAATGAAAATGACCATGGCCAACATTGCAATGCAAAGAAGTAGCAATGTAACTTTCATTGTCGTAAAAGCACATTCGACGTTTTCAACCATTCCGGCGACATATTTTCGCACCGAAATACCTTCCTTTTCACACGAAACGCCATTAATGTTATCACCATTTGACGCCGATTGACCGCATGTAAAACTTATCGATTTTGAGTCGACCGACTTCAAGAACGTTTCCAAGTACGTACAATTAAATTGATTGTTGGTTATGCCAAAGCTCTCAAGTTTCGGGAACGATTCGTTTTTGAAGCCATCCAAATCGGTCAAACGATTTCCATTCAGATTGATCGACGTAAAATTGACATGTGCGTGGAATGGCTCAAAGTCAATTTTGTTCAAGCTATTATTCGCCAGATTCAATGTTCTTAATTCGAGTAAATTCGAAAAGGTACCCGATTCAATACTGAACAATTTTAAGTTTGATAAATCCAAATGCTTTAAATTCTTCAATGCGGTGAAAGTGGATGCATTGATGTTGTTGACCAAATTGTTTGACAAGGTCAGAATTTCTAAATGCACAAGCGGTGCAAAGAGTTGGCCATCGAAAACGGTGAATTGATTGTGTGACAGATCCAAATACTCCAAGTGCATTAGTTTGGCGAAAAGTGTTTGTTCCACGGTGTCGAGACTGTTCCAAGAAAGATTCAAGAATTTTAATTCGCTCAAACCATCAAAAGCCATTGGTTCGATTTCGCTAATGTGATTGTGCGACAGATCTAATGTGGTTAAACTGCTCGAATTTGAGAATAAATTAGTATGGATTTTGTTTAGGTTATTATATGAAGCCAAAATTGTTTCGAGTTGTGCTGCACCTGTAACCGCTTCAAACACCTTCAGACCCACATTGGACACGTTGAAAATGCGAAGATTTTCGTAAGTATAGAGCAAGGTGGTGTGGAATGGTAACTGTGGAAAATGACAATCCTGGTAATGAATTGACACGAAATTCGTTTTTGTATGCGTTGTCAAATTGTTTCCTTTCCAATAACACTCGAAAGTCGATGCACCCGGGCTTGAAATGTGCTCAACGGAACTTTCCTTTACATCACCTGTTGTTGGTTTTGCATCTATTATAGTTTCAGGTTTTTCAGATGTGTTGTCGTCTTTTTTCTCCGATTCGACTTTCTCATCGGCGGATTGTGTTTTGGTCGCGTCATTTTCGGGGGGCTGTTTCGATTTATCTTCTGATTGAACTTCATTTATAGTTGTTTCTTTCGGTGCCTCTGGCGTTACTTGCTCATTCTCTTTCGGAGCTTCACTTTTATTTTCACTTTGTGCTTTAGTTTTCGACGGTTCAGAGGTCGGTTCTGTCGAATCCGCTTTGACTTCTTCAACTTTTTTTGCTTGATCTGGCTGCTTCACATCACCACTCTCTGCATTTTCACCATCCACAGATCTTTTTACTGTTGCAGCCGACGCAGTTTTTTCTTGCGTAGAATCCTCGTTTTCGGCAGCTTTTGGTTCGGTTTTTTCTTCAGCATTTTCACCCAATTGATTTTCAGACTTAAATTTCTCGAAAGACGGAACAGGCGTATCAGCAACTTCGCCTTTAGCAGTTAAGCCAGCCGATTTTTCAGCACTTGGTTGTGGGTTTGCACGATTATTGACTCCACAAGAGAATATCACATTTGTGGAATTCGTGCAAATCGCATAAGTAATTTCACTATTCGTGGCATAAACCACGAAATAGTTCACTTGAATTAATAAAATGAACGAGATGATAATTCTCATTTTGAGAGTAAAACGGAGCAAAAACAACTACTTGTTATCGATTCTTTTTGATATTGATGAGTTGGTAAATTTTGCAAAAGACAAGAGCATACGACAAACGGAATTTCAATTGAAATCTTTCAAAACAGAAATACTACGTCGCTTGAGTGTAAACGATTTCAATAATAAATGTAAAGAGACACATACACATTCAGAGAGAGAGAGAGAGAGAGACTTACAAGTTCGGAGAAAGAGAAAGAGAGAGAAGGAAAGAGAAAAAATGGGAGTAAATAGACAACAAAAGAGGGGAAGAAACGGGAAAGAGTTCTAATTTCAATTGCAAATCACCAAATTTCATCAATTTTAGTCGTATTTTTAAGCTTGAATACATCTCAAAAAAGTTTTACAATTAAAATAGTAAATATCTACTTGATATTGAAGCAGCAAGTCGCCTACAGTCAATATGCTTGAAACTAGTATGAGTGTGATCAAAAAAATTTTGGCACACAACAAATACAGTCAAACCATGTGAATTTCAATATATCGGCGAAAATCGCTCACATCAACAGTCGACTGGACCAAAAAAGTGTTTTATATCGAAAAGACTCTGAAGTTTGCGATACAAATCATTTTCGACACATTTTTCACACAAAAATCACCAAAAAATTCTTCGATCGAAAAACCTGCCATATCTATCCATCTGAACGACTTTAGGATGATACACATTTTTTTTTGTCAAAAACATGTAATTCTTCCAGATATTTCGCCAATCCGAATGGCGCATTTCGATACAAAAAACATTTTTTAGGTCTAGTCTATTCAACCGACATATAAAACGATCGATTTCAATTCATTTTCAATGTATTCAAAATAGTATTCAAAGCTATAAAATTCAACGCTAAAAACACTTGCAATTGTGTTGACATCAAAAAAATAAATTTATATCTGTGTGAACTTTGTCCCAGTTCAATTTTTTCTAATACCAACAAAACAGTTGGTGTCGATTTCATCACTTGATAAACATTTTAATTATTTCAGATCGCATTTGTGTATGTTCTGCGTTCTCATTTCAGTTTTTCATACATTAAAGAACACTTAGCTCTGTTTGCATTGAAATAAGATCAATGTCATTTTTAAAGAAGATTATGACTCATAATTTAAGAGTGCCAAACTATCCAAATAAACTATTCAAACGAATTTTAATCATAATTATTGTTTATGTCTTTATAACTTATCTAATCTGTCTAGGTTTCAGCAACTTCATGTGATTTCATGCAATTTCCCGTACATATCACGAAGAACGAAATATAACTGTTCAAATTGTTAAAAACTACAAATAATTCAACTTCGCTAGTAATTTTATTTGATGGTTTTGACGATAAATTTCATCTGAAATTAATAGTTCACATTTTTTTTTGTATTTTCTTGAACTTATGCACATTCGTAGCTGGTAAAAAATGTTGCATTTAAATCAACTTATCATACGACGACTAAAATGACACGTGCCAGCTGAAGAGACGAAAACTTTTTCACAAGATGATTTTTGCATGGCTTTATAGAGACGAGATTCAATTCGATTCACAAGTTGAAAACACATCGAAAAGTTGGTCGTGTCGGGCTCTTATTAGGCCCGCTTGGTTTTGGCGTCGTTTATTAAATACGACTTTACTTTTTGAGCTATTTTTTGTGTAAACATTTTTTTAGCGCCGAGATAGGGAAAGAGAGAGAGAGAGAGATCAACAAAAGTTATGACTAACTGTCACGTTAAACGGTAGAGCACAAGTCTGTGTTCAGTGATTTGAGAGCGTCTCCGGTGCAAACTCTGTTGACATCAAGCATGAAACCGCATGCAAAAGTGTATCGACCGACCTTGTAAAATCGTTTTACGAATTCATCAAAAACGGTTTATTTTGATTTAAAATCAATGGCTTTCACATTTATTTGAGCAATTTTACCTTTAATTGCAATCCAATATCGTTTTGAAGAAGTTGGTCTCCGTTTTTGAATCAGAGGTGTTACAGGCATCGCGGAGGTGCGAACACTTTTGCGTAAATGCTGTTCTTTCGTATATTCATGTAAATTCACTTGAAAATTATATGGATTAGGTGCGAGTGTCCGCTGAATAAACAAGAAATTAGGGGAGGGGGGATTTTTCCTCCAAAAAAAAAGTTTCAATCAAAAAGAAAAAAAAATGAAAAAAAATTTAATTTTTCCAAACAATTTGGTTTTACGCAATCTTACGGGTTGACGAGTTGTCTGTGGCATTTTAATGATTGCATCATGTAAATGACGACATTACATTTATTTTTGGCTTGAATAAAATGTTTGATTTTACAACAAACCTCTTTTAATCACTGGTCAACAATCGATACGATAAATTGACTCGATTCTTGTCCATTCTTAGTCATAGAAAGTTTGCTTTGATAAACTTTATTTTCCAGAATTGAATTGACGTTGCTTCAATAGGCTATTACGTCAAATGGATTTTTAAAAAACCAAATTCCATATAAAATCCTTGCATTTGTGTACCATGTACGTGTTAAGCTCATTCAACTCAGTCACTTTTGGTGTGTGTTGGCATGGATCCTCAACCGGATCCAATGTACGTCAGTGTTTGCATTGTGACGGTATAATTCATTCGAAGAATTTCGAGTAGATTGTGAAAGTTCTATATTCCATCGCATTAACAATGCACAATTCACAATAAATAGCTGACATAAATACAAGAAAGGTCTTTGGACAAATCATTCAATGATTTAACTTCAATCATTAAGTTAATAAGAAGATAAGGTGAATAGACTTACTGTGATGGCCGACAATGGTTAAAATAGTAATTTGGCTCTTCTTCAACCATTTTTATCTGGGTTGACGTCATTTGAATAAAAATACAATGCCTCTAAAATCAGATCAACAGGTTGAAAAAATACGCGTCGCTGTTGTTTATGATTCATTGATAACAAAACATATACACATCATAATCACACCGGTTTGTGTAATGAGTGTGTATTTATGCATTTTGAACAAGTTCTTGTGATAAGTCGTCGTTATCACTCGTTATCAGATTTAATATCTCCAACGCGCGTTTATATTCCAGTAGATCGGTGAAGGTTGTAAAATCGTTTGTGGCAATATCAGTGTTAGCTCAAATCTCATCGTGCTTTGATTTGTCGCGTCAAGCATTCAAGTCCACATTCGATTTGATTCGGGGACATTGCTCAAACAATTCGCCAAATTCCTTTCAAGTAAGAGACAAAATCGCCGGTGACTCAATTATTGTTACATAAAAAAGTGTCGAATAAAAAACAAATTGCAAACAATACCGAATGCAAAACAATGAGAGACAGATAACAAGATAAGATATTCATTTATGATTACGGTGTATGCATTGGAACAAATCTGATTTACCTGTGGCATATTGTGTTACGTGCTTTTTTTTGAGTGAGCTGCGATTTTCAGTGCAGACAGAAGCTGCATCGTTCTTTTTTATACTAAAATTTACCAAAAAAGTGCATGCTAGAGTGCATGAGTGTGTGATTGAGGTATTTTTCTCGCTATTTTGAAATTGCAAAAAGTGTGAGATTTTTCCCGAATTCTCGTCGAAATTTTCTGCGTTGAATGTTTTGAATTTGTGTGAAATATTTTTTCATATCACGTACTTCATGTGACTAATAACAAGCGTGAATGATTCATAACAAAATAATTCAGTCGGTGAAATCAATTTTTGATAAACGTATATCAACTTGAAATTTTCCAGACCGACAAATCGTGAAACAGTGAATGATGCATTTATGAAAATCTCGAATTGTTTTTGGCGGGTTTAAAACGAAACTCTTGCAGAGCGTATAAATACCAAAAAAAATATGGATACATCGAATGGAGCGCCGGCAAATGGGTCACAACGTACTACTGAATCCGTTGTGTGCGAGCAACAACATCGTCTAAATGTGTTTGATTTGATGAAAATGGGATTGAGTTCAACATTTGCAATAATCATTTTCATTGGAATTGGCTATGTGGTGAAACATGTTGCCGGACCATCAATTATAATATCCATTCTCATCGCAGCATTCATAGTATATTTAGTAGGTAAAAACGAGCAATTTAAATATGAGAATCTTTCAAATGCAACCTTCATGTTTGGACTCTGTAGCAGTGTTCGCGTCCACGATCACTTTTCGTGTCCGAAACCGGCCGAGACTAAAATTTTCGCATTTTTGGGTCTCGGTCCATTTACGGGTATTAAGATTTTGATAGATTTTTTGGAGAAAAGTGGAAAAAGTCAATGGTTTCTATGGTCTTTTGACCGCCTTCAACTGAGAAAGCGGTTAACACTAGATTTAATCGACTTTTAGCAGGACCTCCCGGATTTTTTTCGGATCTTTAACCGACCTGTAGCGATAATTGTCGGGTCCTTGTCGGGATTGTGAACACTATTATTTCTGACCATGTTTCGTTGCATATACTCTGATTCTGTGCTAAACCTCTTTTCAAACTGCATGCAAGCCCGAGTGGAAAAAAAGTGACTAAGTTACTATTGACTGTAAGTGACTATAGTTAGCTATATTCATGAATTTTAAAATTTTGTATGGAAAACAATCGACTATAGTTACTCAGTCAGTCAGGCGATTATTTTGGGACGTTTTGACTATCGGGTGACTATGATTATTGTCAACTATAGTTAGCTGTTGCAGCTAACCATAGCTTACTTTAATTGTTTGAAGTTAACTAAATTTAACTAAGGTTGCTTGTTTTTACAGTCAATAGTCAGTCAGTTTGTCCCAAAATAGTCAGTCACTTTTTTTGTACACGGGAACTCCTCGGTCGAATTTTTATAAATTATTGCCAAAAAAAGCTCGTACATACCTTTTGATAATGTGTTTAATTCACGTGAATTTCCTGTTTTTTTATTTTATCGAATTTTCGAAAACTAGGTACTTTTTATACGGAATTGAATGAAGCGATTGTGCTATCGGCGATAAAAGCACCGGTTCGATTATCACGAGTGGCTGACGAAACGATGGCAGTTAGCCAAAGTACTTGCGCAGCCGATTCAATGGTAGTTGAATGGTTGTTGCCATCATACATTCTAGTTTATGTATGTAATGGTGAATTTGCAGCTTTTGTAATTGCATGGAATTTAATTATGGAGTATATGGTGATTGTGGCGTTGATCTCGAAAGCATTGATTATCTATATCGATGCGTTATTTTTCGACTCATTGGACCATTTGACCCAAATCATACCAATGTCGTGGTATTTGAGTGAATATTTTGATGTGCTGGCACTTTTGGTGCCGATCGTAATTGGCGGTAAGTTGAAAATCAAATAACAATTTTGCACCGCACGAGAAGAAAACCGAAAAAATACACCAAATTTTAAATCGGCTCAATTAAAACTAACTCCGGACTTTTCTCTCCATATATTAAAGTGCCGTTGCTGCTGTTGCTCGGACGAAGTACCATTTTCAATGTGATATCAATCGTACTGAGTTTGGTGATTACAGTGATTTTCTTACTTTTCGGCATATTCAACGGTAAATATGTGGGCTCGAAAAAAAACCAACAACTGAAATTTATGTGAATTTCATGTGATTTTTCGCTTCAGTGGAATGAATATGTTTAGGCTCGTTTATTATTTCCACTCAGTGAACGTTGAGCTTATTTGGACCAATAATTTTTATTCCATATTGAAAACACATTTACACAATATTAATAATTTTTTTTCTCGTCATTCAGCCGACATTAAGAACTGGAATCACAATATTGGTGACACTGCTGTCGATAATGCTGAACATTCGACCGTCCAAACAGGTGGTTTTTATGCATACGGTGTGAACGGTGTATTTAAGGGTGTTGCCATCATTTTATTCATGTTTATTGCATTCGATTGCATGATCATGAGCCGATGGGCAAAATCGATTTGGTTTGCAAAACAACACACCACCATCGGTGATATGAAACCAATGAACATTGAACATTTTACCAAAACCATAACCCAAGCCATTCTATCAATTAACACAGTCATTTTACTATGTTTACTCGGTATGGCATTTGCATTGACGACCATTCAACCCGTCCATTCGATGGCAAGTTTCACACACACTTTGAACTTTGTTCAGTTTTTTTTTCCGAATTTTTTTTTTTTTTTCAAATGAAAACATTTTTACTCGGAATTTTTCGGTGAACTGTTTTTCAACATCAAATTAACATTTTGAAATGTATTTTTTCTCTCTAGGATGAACATTTACCATTGATATCTGTTATCAAAACAGTATTCCGTGAATCGAATGAGATGCAAACAGCCACTCGATTCATAACATTAATTGCTGGTTTCATAGCACTTGCTGGCAGGTAAACACACCAAAAAATAGACACATTCACTCATTTTATCGCCTTTTTTTAGACGTAGATGCTTTTGATCTCTTTCATGTTATTTCACTCTATTTCTCTCTCTCTACCTACCTATATCTCTCTCTCTATCTCTCTCTCTCTATATTCCTCCCTCGTGCACTTCCTATTGCTTAGTTCTCTTTCGAACCATCTATCTCTGCATCTTTCTCTCTTTCCCTCTTTCGTCCTCTCCCATACGAAAGTCAATATTCTCTCACTTAGTATTCTTCCGAAAATTCGTTTGACTCGGTCAAAAATTCATTTTATCAAGTATTTTCCAATGAAATTCCAAATATTTACGCCTGCAGTACATGCATCGCAAACACAAAATGCTCATTCTCTTTATGCATCTAAACATTGAAAGGTAAATGTCCGACTGAAGAGCATTTTCAAAGCATGAAAAAGCAACGATTTCAACACTGAACAAACTTTCGACATGCTGCTTCAATGGGCACTAAAAGAAAACACATTTTGGTTAAGTTTTATCCCGCAAACGCATGCAATTGGCGTACAAGGTGATAGAATGGTGTGCGGGGATGTGTTGAAAAAGAGATGCAGAAAATGCTAGATATTTTTGTATTTTAATTGAATAATTGGTATGGAAACGTAGTCAAAAGCAAGCATTGATAGATATGTGCTTGAATGTCCAATAACTCAAACAACCAAACTATGTCATTCTCCTCCCCCGCCTCTCTCTCACATACACATCCAAAAATCATTCGAATTGCTCTCATTTCGATCATGTTTTATTGGTTTTCTCAAATAAAACTGAAAAGAGCGAATTTTCTCAAATAAAACTGTTCATTGGAAATTCGATTTTGTGCTATTTTATGTGATTTCTCTTTCATCGAAATTGGAAAACGAAAACTTGTTTATTTATTAGTTTTCTTTGGCATTTGTTTTTCCCGAGGCACCGAATTATATAATGGGTGAAAATAACTATATTCGAGAGGAACAAAAAATTACCCGACAATTCCAACATCAAAATTGATGGCACGATTTAACGAAACAAATACCGATGCAACATTCACCAGAACCAAAAATACATGCCCATTTATTTACGAATTAAGAACAATCTTTGGCACTTAACGAAATAGGTTCGAGGGTTTTTTATGCTGGGGAAGAGAGAGAGAGAGAGAGAGAGAGAGAGAGAGAGAGAGAAAAAACAATTTCTGAAAACGGTTCCCATTCTCCTTCACTCATACTTTTTGTGTTTTTTCCCTATTATTTCCTTTATAGTTTAAATGGAGTACTGCATGCTGTACAACGTGTTATGCACACGATACTATCGAACGATGTGTACGATTCAACATTCAAATTATTTGGAAAGTTTGGCTTAAACCATTTTCGATGCAAAGAACTACGGCAGCAATATCATGACAACGACCAAACAACCACCATCGAACACAACAATAATCGAACCAACGACATCGAATGCAACGAAAGACGAAAAAACCAACAACGATGGCAAATGTACACTTGTTTATTATTATTTTCAATACTTTCCGGCTTGTTGGCTGGATTATTCACCGTTGAACATCTCATTAATATACTTTCGATTGGAACGTTGCTCATGATGTTGGCTTTAACCATTGACATCATGATTTTGAGGTAAGTTTATGTCTTGTTTGCTTTTCGTTTTTCAATGGTGACGTTGTGTGGCAATAGCGGCGACGATGTTATGACCCGTTAAATGCATTGTTTCCCAATAACCAATTTTTATGTGATTTATCTTTTTTTTCTGCTCACCAGACACTGTGGCCGCTTCAAGCAACGTTTACAGCATTCACATGAAAACGGAACATCGACACCGGGCACGAAATCAATACGCTCAATAAATTTGGTCACAATTTTGCTGTTCGCTTACTGTGAGTTTAAGAGCAAGATTTCGAATATTTGTAACATGTAATTTATGATTATTTGCGCTTCGTTCAGGTTTGTTAGCTGCAATATTAGCCATTCTTATCAAATTCATGCTGTCAAACGATGACATCATTTCACCGATATTGTGTTGGATTTTCATTGCTGTTTTGGTAGCCAGTTTGGTGGTCATTGTTTTTGTACTTGGTATACAACCGAAAGGGAATGCAGTGTTTTCACTCAGTTTTAAACATCCATTTTTACCAGCCATCATCTCATTTGGATGCATCTTTTTATTTACCACATTCGAAGCAATCGCATGGATTCGATTCGCTGTTTGGACGATAATTGGTAAGTTTTTTCGAACACATTTTTTTCTTGATAGAATTTCTTTTGAAGTGAAGAGGATGGAAAAGACTATGGACATTGGATATAAGTGCTGACAGAAAAGATTTTTTTGAGACACCTGCTCTCATTCACCTGAGGGTTAAAGTCTCCTTCTCCCATTTTCCTTCTTTTTCGTTTTTTAATCATTTTTATTCTTTTCACAGGCTTAATTCTCTATTTTTGTGCATTGAAATACCAACCACCACGCAAGATGCCGGCAAATGGTGTGTCGAATAATGCAATCACTCCAGAAAATGATTTGAATCAAAGCGAATACACCGATACAATGACGGCGTCCTTTGAAACTATAGCATTGGAAAATATTGAGCGTTCTTCGACTGGAGTTAAAGAGGCAACAATTTTAAATCAACAACCGAATGTAATAATAAATCAGTTATCGAATGAAACCAACTCGAAAACCAATCCAGTTCAACCGAGTCAGGTCAAATGTGAACCCATCCAAGTGGTGAAAACTATCGAAACGGAGAGTGTTGAATTTGAGCTTGATGATGTGACAAAAAGTCCAATTCAAGAATTTGATATTTCACCGCAATTTGCCGTCGCAAAATTATCTCAAAAACAAAATGCCATCGATCATTCAAAATTGGACGAAATTTCATCAGTCGATGATATCAAAGATACATGCATTGAGTGTCGTGAGCCGAACGGTACTACTTACTTTGTGGAAGTAGATTTTGTGCAAAATTCCGTCGAAAATGATAGAAACAAATCTGAATCGCCTATACAAAATGAACACCATATTAATGAGTACACCGAAGAGTTTGAGAGAAATATGCACGATAGAGTATTAAGCCAAACAATAATTCATAATAAGCAAATTGATGAATCACCACGGTCATTGATTTTGTCTATACCGTCTGAGTTTGAAGACAGTGAATCGGAGGAGGAAAAAGAAGTGCGTGCAATTGTTCATGTTTCAAGTGAATATTCAAGTCAATTTGAATCAAATTCGTCGATAAGTGAGTCCGCAATTGAGACCGCCTCCGAACCAGTTCATTCTGAGCAACATGTTACACTAAATGTCAATGACTTCGAGCAATCAACGTCATTTATTGAAAAATCAAATACGCCACCGCCGATTAATCCACCGGAAATCACAAGCGATCCAATCACTCATCCTGGTGTCATCAAGCCAATTAATTCGAGTGAAACAAATTCAAGACGTGGTCCAAATTTCCATATTGGTGTCTATGAAGCGTTACCAAAGCAAAAATTACTCTATGAAAACGATGAGAAACGATTGGCCCTTAAAATGCGTCTAGAGAATTTATTCGGTCAAAACGGTGACGATGTGACCGCAACCAAATCGAATTTAAATTCACTCAGTCCAACAATACCACATGCATTGCGTGTGAATACATCGTTGAATCATTCGATTAGTGCGCCGGATAGTTTAGTCGTTGAAGACATTGACAATGATCCGATGAAAGTGATTCCGGCCAAAATTCCAATTCCGCCTGCATTTAATCAAGAGCTATACAATACGATCGGTCATCGAAATCGAAAGGTATTTTCATCGGTGTCGAATGTGATTGACATCAATGGTACGACAACTGACCGTCCGCCCAGCGAATGTGTTAATAAAAAGGCAAATCTGTCGCGAACAAAAGCCCACGAAAATCTCACCGAATTGGATGCACTCGAAAATGATAGAGATGATACATCAACGCATGCCATAAAGCAAAAGCTTGAAGAAATTTTCAGTAAAGGTCGTCGTAACGTACACGCGAATGATGTGTTAGATGCATCAACAAACAATAATAATGAAAGCCATCAACGACGTAGCACCAAACAAATCGGACCATTCGATACGGTGCGAAAGCAAAAAATGCTATTCAGTGATGTTTTAAAATCCATTGCGGCCATGCCTGATATTCATGCCAATTTACATCCGACCCATAACACAACGGCTGCCATCGACATACAAGAGACACAACGCCGCGAATCACTGGATTAAATGTACACGAACGCGAGAAAGAGGAAATATCCATTTAAACTTACCAAATAGAGTGTGCAAAAACACACACACACTTTGGAACAAAGCTATCAATAAATTCATGAGATTATTTTTTTCTGTCTGTTCGTTATTTTTGTTGTTGTTCGTTTCGTTTATAAAACTAATGCATTTTCATGACGGTTTTTTTCTATATTCCCCTCTCTCTTCTCCTATCTCTCTTTCTTGATTTGACACCGTATTTTCGCATGTCATGAACAGTACAACGAGTTGGCCTTTTTTTTACAGCATAGCTAGTCTCTTCATCGACTCAATATTTCCGATCCCTCGCGATTTGTAAATTTTATGGGAAAATCGACGGGAGAGAGAATGAGCGAACGCAGAAAAAAAAGGCGCACACCGATTCGATGTAATTCTCATTTCAACATGTCACTGGCAAACGATTGCTTTTCTTCAACAAATGCAACGACTCTTTTTGGTTCAATTTTTTGTTTGTTTGTGTCTCTCACACTATTTAAACCAGCCGTTCGTACTCTTCATCCTTTTTCACCAGCTGGTCGCTTCTTTTCGCACACTTTGTAAGATTTATTCGTTTTTGCGAGAAGTAGAAAAACCGGCACGAATGAAAAAAAAAAACCAAGCAAACTGATAAAATATTCATGCGAACAGATGAACCGCGAAAAATTGAAGGCGAGCGGGGGTGATGTGCAACGAATATTTGATTCTTTGTTTTCCAAACATGATTGTGCGCTCGCTAGGAGAGACATGCATTTTCTTTTTTCAACTGCTTATAATGCAAAAGTTGGGTGTGTGTTTTTTGGTGTGTATGTGTGTGTGCATTGATTGTACCATGCCAAATATTCACCAGAGGGACAAAATGCCGCGCAAACACAAGTCAACTCTTTTATGCTTTAAATGGTGAATGAGAGCAAAAAAAAACGGGGAGCATAAAACAGCGATTAAATAATGAATGAGACTTTTCTTTTGTTGCAACTTCTATTCAGCCAGTGCATTCACCATTCGAAATGATATTGTGATTTATATGCGATTTGGTGTACATCTCAAAATGATCCCCGGTGCATGAAGTGATGATTAAATTATTTTGAATTGGCAGATCAACTAATGCCGCCGCCAACACCGCACACCAACCAATGATGTGCGCACACCAAATCAAACTCTCTCTCGCACTCGCACACACACACACACACACACTTATATTTACCAAATCCAAAGCACGTACAAATTCATATTTTATTTCACACATTTTAAAGGCACTCTCACAAACTAGATTCCAAACATATATAACATCACACCAATTTCAACCAATAAAACATTCATCGCTTTAATCTTCCGCCACTCTATCGCTGCCAAACACACACACTCACTCGCAAACATTCAGCGTATTCATTATTCACAACTACAACATTTCATGTCATTTGCACTAGATCAAACTCAGACATTTTTAATGCAAGCGCAACAGCATATACGTACTACTTCCACGGAATGTGCACAGAAAGTGCAAGCCCTCGTTTTTTTTGTTTTGGCTTTTTGGTTTCTTGCCGCTGATGGTTTTCTTTTTACAAACACGTTCGTTCGGCTTTTGATTGGCAAAATCGAAGTGAGTAGACTCTTGAGCGGTGCTCAATGGATGAGTATATGAATTTTAAATTTTCAAACAAAATTTTCGAGATTGAAATAGTAAATATATGGCAAAATCAACACGTAAAATATCAAAGCATAGAATCGCATAGCACGCTATTCTGCCGATCGGATTCGATTTTAAATTCGAATGTTTGATTTTGATTTGATTTCACTTGAATTTTCGGTTTGATGTCGGAATAATTGCAAGACTTTCGTTACGAATTCGTTTTTAAATGGGGAAGTACTTCTACTCTTTATTTCTCAGAGAAAGGAAAAAAGGGAGACCGAAAAAACGGAATTGAGAAAGAGAGTGACATAAAAGGGGCCGAAAGAGATAGACGTAAACATGTGAAATGGATGGCGGAACTAATTGAAAAATATTCTCATTTATTGTTTTAATGAAGAAATTGAGCTTCTGAATGAAAAATAAAGTTTGATGACAATGTAACCATTAATGGACCCATGGTTTTTTTTTTAAATTTCCAATATCCTTTGGGGGAAAAACAAAAGAGCACATCAAAAACTGGTGAAAACCTCAATAAGGTGAGCAACGCTCTGTGTTTGTTCCCATCAATTTCTTTGTGCTGGCTATGAGCATATTCGACGTTATATGATATGAAAATTGTTTATAGTTTTTTGATTGGCATTTACCCTCCCGATATCGGCAACAATAATAACGATAACTATGACGTTGTCGGTGATGACGGCGACTCCTCCTTGGCATTTAAAGAGAAACTCAACATTAAATTTGCAAGCAATTTACAGTTTGACACCGAAGGAAACACTAGCATCTGGAATGGTATACCATAACTAAAGTAAAAGTGGTGATGATGGCGGTGGTGGGTTGCATATCGCATGCATTTTAAAAATGGTAGAAAGTGTTAACGAGAAACCATTGAAAAGACATACATAGAAGTGGAAAACCGCATCCCGCCATCATTGAGCAACAATGCTAAAAGAAACACACACACACACACACAATCATAGAGGGAAAGAGAGAGAGAGAGAGACCGAGAAAAGGGAGAAAAAGCCAGAGAATGCAAGGGTAAAACTGTTTAAATGCAATACAGGAGTGAAATTGTAAAGAACAGAAGTGAGGAACAGAGAGGTAAACGTAGAGACACAGTGATATTATCATGAGATCGTCGCCTTCGTCTCTATTGTTTCTCATCATTGTTAAGTTTTTGGGGTTTTGTTGCAGTACTCTAATAATATTTATAGTGAAATTAATGTTCGCTTCGATTGCGACGAAATTTTTGTCTATTCATCGAAAACGTAGCAAAAGCAGCAATAGCAACAACATCAATTGTAGTGGTAGCTGTATGAAGTGTGTTTAGTTTTTTTTTGCTGTGTGTGTGTGTGCGTCGTGGGGTTTGTGTGTTTTAAGCTCTTTATGGTAGTTTTTGTCTGGCAAGTGCTTTTACATGAGAAAAGAGCTCATAGTTTTCGGCGTCACTTGTTCTGTTTTCCATGTTGAAAATCGAAACAGATCGTATCTTGTGTGAGTGTTCAATGTGCACAAAGCTCGAGAAATTCGCCACTTGTTCTCGCCAAAAACCTTGTGAAAACATCAACCGAAATACGGCTAGAGAAAAGTGAGCGAACAGAAAATTTAAACGAAATCGTGAGAGAGAGAGAGAGAGAGAGAGAGAGAGAGGTAGAGAAGAAAAAAATCGAACAGGAATGTGTATCAGACGCTGTTGAACACTCAGGACCCATTTAAAACATGCTTTTGCCATAAATTTAATTTTGTGTTCCGTTAATTATTGCTTTATTATGTCGTTGTCGTCGTTTTTTCCGAAGCCCGTTTGGTTTTCGTATCTCACTTGACCGAGCAGTTGTATGCAGTGCATGGAAACCGTTTTTGCCAAATATTGTTCAGTTTTTTTTTCTTCTCGTTCACTTTCTGTTTGTCAGGATCTTTCCCCTTTTTTTGCCGGCGAGAAGAAGGAACGAATGATAGAATTGCGTAAGCACCATTGCCAAAGGCATCGCAGCACACCAACGCTCGTTTGCATCCACATGAATTATTATTTTATAATTGTTGGGATATTTGGTGAAGACGGTAGTTAAGGTGAGAAATGGCAGAACTTGATCAGAAAATCAATACTCATGCCTGCATTAAATGCATGCACTTTCTTTTGTATATATATGTATATATATTTTCGAATACAATGACCACTGAATGAACATGAACGCTCACCGAGTTAGTGCATAAAATTGAGAGAAAGATAGAAGAATCCAATATAGCCGAATGTGTGCATAAATTTTTGGTGCCAAAAATGTGCAAACGTCGCTTTCAATGTACGAACGAAGAATGCGATCGGGTGCTTTTCAGTCTTTTCGCTCATTGTTTCGATGCGTACATAATTCTTTTTCACGTCCAAGCCAAAACATGACACACCGACTCTCTCACGCTCTCTCTCTATTTCTGCCTTTCTTTGTGTGTGCATCTCCGTCTGTCTTATTTTCTCTCCCTCTTTCCTCCTTTCTGTCCTTCTGTTCGGTTCGAAAATTCCAAGTCTAAATCGTGTTCAAAGCGGGTGATGTGTTGGCACTGGTCGACAGACGCAACCAGGCATCTGTTTAAATAACTCAGCCATTTATTCTATTGAGAAAACTACAGTCCGAATATATATATTTTCATAATCTGGGTACAATGAATTGCAAGGAATTGCCTGCCTGCTTAAATATCATCCAGATTTATATTCGCATTTTTGCCAGTCGACATCATTTCTTTTCGGCATTTTGTGTATTGAAATAAGGTAACAAATTGCAGGAACTGCATACATTCACACATTTTTTTTATAAATTCTATTTCATCATTGATTTCTTGACCTGAGACAGCCACTGACCCATATTTATTTTAGAAATTTCGCAACAATGCAGACAAAGCTTGGCACTCGCATCTCATTCTTCATTTGCCACCAAATGAACGAACGACTGAATGAACCAACACACACACGGGGTCGATTCTCCAAGATGCACAAAAAAACTGGACTCATGTCAACGAAATTGTGTGGTTCGTTCACAAATGACCATTCAAAGAAAGGAGCATGGAAAATGATTCAAAGCAAAGACTATGGAAACCGAAAAGATATTTTTCGAAAGAGAAAAGAAGGAATACGGCGTATATATACAATTTGTGGAGCCTCTGTCACAATATTGTAAACATGACAGCTGTTTCTTCGATGTATTTTGTCAATGACATGAAACATCATGGCAGTCCATGGTCGAAATGGCAATATGGCTGGCTGGCGTTAGGGGCGTACAACCGATGTTCAAATTTGAATAGTCAACATGCAAATTAAATTCAAGAAAATATGTACACCGGTATAAAATGTCGACGTGCACAACCAAATCGGGTAAATGATTGACAACATTCTCTTCATCACGGCGCTCTCGAATGGTGAAAAACGAAAATAACGAGAAAAAAAAACTTTTCCAATCTTCTTCTACACTTCTGCACAACAAACAACAATGAAAACGACT